CGAAAAAGGTATCCAGCTCACCCCTGCCCACTGCATGTCCCTTCGCTTGCTCTCCATCACAGGATGTTGCTGGGAGCGGCTCAGAGGCCGAAGGCAAGGCTTCCTCAGACGTGGATTCCGACGGTGGCGGCAGTGCCTCATCCTCTGGCCTGCCACATGACATGGACATAGTGCTGGGGGAGTCTGAGGAGGAGGGAGGAGCCCCCCAAGGCAAGGGTGACACTCTTGTCGAGGATGTGTCTGTGGAGACCGGCACGATTTCAAGGAAAAGGAGGAAGTCTGGAGCTGTGCAACAGAAACCTGGAAGGAGGAGAGTTGCAGTAACCTAACCTTGTGTGGATGACTTGTACCTAAGCATTGGTGTACTTCTGAGAAGCATGTACTCCCGCCGGCGACCTGTGTTGCCCTAGCCTCTGAGAAACTCCTATTTTTATGTGATACTGTGTAAGGTGTTCTTCTCTAGACGTTTTGGACCAAGCCCTATCATACGATACAAAGGAGAGACGCACCACCCTTTCCATCATGTTGCTGCTGCGAGTCGTTGATCCCCACGATCAAATGAGGGACGGCCACGTAATATTGACGTTCCCGAGATGAGGCCATTGCCACTCCCATCACGTTCATGCATGGTAACTGCAAGTACCCATTATTGTACAGGCTTCTGTGGCAGCGCACCATGCCTTGATAACGGGCCACGATGGCGTTGAGCAACGGGGTCCTGGCGCCCACCCCTCCCGTGACAGTGCCCAAGGCTAACAAGGGCGATCGTCCCGGCGACTTGCCATGGCAGGAAGACACTGACTTTGGGGGCATTAAAAAGCAGTACGACGTCACGCAGGAGGTGGTCCTGAACCTAGAGTTCGTCTCCGATGGCTGGGCCAGGGTGCGGTGGGAGGAGGGAGTGCCTTTGGAGGAGGAACACCAGACTGCGGAGACAGACTCTGGCTGTGCAACTATGTGCCGCAAATGGTGGGTGCGTTTCCATGCCAAAAGGTCAGCAAATCGTAAGGGCACAGGAAAGGGTCCAAGGGTTTCCCTCTAACCAAGGCAATCAAGGGCGCCCTTCCCTCCATGTACCCACTTTCCTCGCAGCTGTCTAAAGCTTTGGTAATGATCGCCAAGTGCGTGTCCGTCGCCATCTTCATCTTACTCCTGTATAAAAAGAATAGTCAGGTGCGCTGAGGTGCCCCTTTCCTGACTAGATGGTTGGTGGTGCTCGATGGGTGTGCATCACCCAGAGAGCACCTCAGGATTTTCGCATGCTGGGTGCATGTCTGGCGTGCCGCTGCTTGGCCCTCCTCCTGTTCCCGCTTCCCTGTCCGCGACTCCCCCTTCCTGCCTCCCTCCATTCCTCTTCCACCCCCCCCCACCACACCACCACACACTTCCCTGCCTCTTCCCTGGTATTAGGGCATTGGTGGTCTCGTGGATGACAACTTCCTGGCCATCCTGAACGTCACCGTGGGGGCTATCTGCCTGGTCACCCTCCTGTTTGCCCTCTGGCTCCTGCTCTGGCGCATCCACCGAGCCATGCTCTCCGGTCGCACCTGGACCCGTCCCCGCCGCTTCCTCGTCAACCTCGCGCTCTGGGAGCTGGGCCTGCAGGTGGTGAACCTCACCTTCTTCCTGGCGCCCAACGCCGCATGGTTGGCAGACCCCTGCACCCCCTTCCGCGGCGTCGTCCACGGCGCCGTCTTTGTCCAGTTCTCGTGCTGGCTGGGTCTCTTCACCATCTTTGTCATCAGCGTCCAGGGCTTTATGCCCATCACGCCAGGGACAAACAGCGTGCGGGGCCTGCCCCTCTACAGCTGGTGGCTGCGGCGCAATGGGGAGACGGTGCCGGCCGATGCCACCTCGGTCCTGGATCTACCTACTTGGGTCCATGCAGACCTGGTACGTGGCAGCGGGGGTGCCTTGGATGGGTGGAGGTGGGGCCGGGCTTGCAGCAGGCCATCCGACATGCAGGGACGCGACGATGTGAATTTGTTGCTCCTGGCACAGCGGTTCTTGTTGAGGGGGAGGACTGGGGGATTGGAGGGTTGTGCTCTGCAGACGGCATCTGAGGAGCTGCCTTGGCAGGTTTTGGCTCGAGTATGCTGGGTGGACCAGCAGCAAGAGTCTCGACGTTGGCTTCTCTTGCCCAGATCCATCTCCCTTGCGCTCCCGTCCTTGGCAATCAGTTGACCGAGTACAAATCCCCCACACAACACCCCTTCCCGTGCCAGCTCCTCTTTGTGTGGCTCCCTGGGCAGCTCCTCCTGCTCTTCCAACTCCTCTGGGCCACCGGTTGCCTGGGTGGGTGGGGTCTATGCGCTGCTGGCAGAGCAGAGGCGGGGGGGTACGGACGAGGGTCGATGAAGCTGCCCTGCATGGGTGCAGCCGATCCAAGCTTACCGGGCTGCTTGCATGCAGGAGGGCCACGTGAGAACCTGAAGCCGTCTCACTGTTCCCTACCTCTCAGCATCCCCCCCCTACAAACTCCCATGCGCAGGAGCGGCCCCGATCTGCGGCCAGGCCTCTGCGACAGTCCCCTGCGACGAGCTGCGCCCCGCCCCTGGCCAGTCCTGCGCCGCCTGGATGCAGGACGACCTGGGCGACCGATGCGTCTCCGTCCACGTCACCACTGTGCTCGTGCTTTCCAGCATCGGCTTTGCCTGGGTGCTGGCCGTCATGCTCCTGGGGGTTCTGGCCATGCTGGTCAGCTACAGGGAGCTGCGCCGCTTCCGGTACCAGCAGTATCGCGCCGCCAACATCGCCGTGCGGGTGCTGAACAAGAAGCGGGCGACCATGCAGGCCATCTTTGTGGCATGCGTGGTCGCCTTCTGGTTTGTGGACCTGCGGGCCTGCACCAACTACCTCCTCACCTTTTACGGCCTTACACCCCTCCAGGTGAGTCCACATGCGTGGGTGGGTGGCGGGTAATGCCTGCTGTGTGTGCTTGCTTGGGGGCCCTGACCGCCTGGAATGCCCCACCCGGCCCTTCCCCTCGAGCCCGCACTCGATCGATCAGCGCCCACCCCTGGTGTGAGCCTCCACTCAGAAGGCGCTTGCTCCCTCGCTACGCCCTCGCTCGACGACCGCTCACCCCGCCCCCCCCGCAAACCCCTCACTCACATGCCAGATGCTCGGGAGCATCCAGGTCTTCACCACGACGATGGCCATCATGCCCATGCCCCCGCGGGCACAGCAGCTTGCCCTCCACGTCTGGCTGCAGAACTTTGTCTGGAATGAGGTGGGCGGGGAGAGGAGGCTCATCGGGCAACCTGGGATGGAGCGCTGGGCACGGGCATCGCTGCATGCAGTCGCAAACGCTGCGCGGCATCCCGAACCCCCCCCCCCTCCCGGCAATTGCGCAGGAGGAGCAGGAGGCGGCTCTGGCAGAGCGCCCCCCCATCTATGCCAAGGAGCCCTTGTTCTGTTTCGAGACGGCCGTGAAGGCCCTCTACTACTCCATGCTGGTCTACTACTACAAAGGCAGCGACGAGCTAGGACCGGTGGGTTGGGAATCTGAGTGTGATTGCCGCGCACGATGCGTGCACTCACGGAAGTCATGGATCACCGTTCTGCAGGGCAAGGCTGCCCAGCACCCACTCCATCCGGCCACCGCCCCTGTCCGCACCTGCCCACCCACACCAGTGCCTCACAGCCCCCGCCCCCAAGACACACCCTCCACCAACACATGAAACACAGGCCGTGCCGGGGAAGGGGTCGCCGCACCCGGCGCTGACGCTGGACCTGGCCCTGGAGCTGTACGGCCTTGACCACCACGAGGCGATCGTGGAGGCGCAGCAGGACCTGACCTGCATGCTGGGCTGGAGCGCTGCCAGGCGGACTGTGGTGCTGGCCTTCCGCGGCACCTCCTCCATGGCCAACGTGTGGCTGGACCTGCAGGTCTGGCGCAGGCCGCACCCGCTGGGCATGGGGCGGTGGTGGGACAGCACCCGGCCCCTGGTGCACTCCGGCTTCCACGCCTGCTGGCTGGAGCGCGGATTCGGCCAGCGCGTGCTCGCCCGTCTGCGCGCCCTCGTCGCCGGCGAGGGGGCCGCGGAGGGGGCCGCGGAGGAGGGGGGCGGCGTGGGAGCAAGGGGGTCTGACGGCGCGCCCTGGCGCGTGCTCTGCATCGGGCACTCGCTGGGGGGGGCGCTGGCCTGCATGGCCGCCTGCGACGTCGTGGATCTGTCGCGTGCCCTGGAGCGGGAGCGGGCGGAGGCGAGGGAGGGGCGGGGCGAGGCAGCCGCCCCGGCGGCGAGTGGATCACTGCCAGCCGCCGGCCCCATCCTCGTGGCCAGCTCATACACCTACGGCTGCCCACGCATCGGCAACCACGCCTTTGCCAAGCACTACGCTGATGTGGTACCCGACAGCTGGGATGTGGTGCACACCAATGACGCCGTGGCCAGGAACGGAAAGTGAGTTTGGATTCCTTCTTATTGGGGCGGCATGGGAGAAGGAGAAAGGGGGGGCCTGAAGGATGTTGGGACATGCCCTCCAGGTCCCCCAGGACAGCGTCAGGCATATCCCGTTGCATCCCGAGCAAGTGATGCAGCCCTGTGCGGGCACCGCGCGAGCATGGCGCTCAAGCTGCCGTGAGCCTGGCTAGGAACCCACCGCCCCTCCTTTCTACCACGAGGTAACACCCCTTACCCCTGCCTTCCCTCTCCCATGACGCAAAAGGTTCATCCGGCTGTACAAGCGCGCCGGCAAGCGCGTCATCGTCTCCCCCGCAGGGGACCTGATTGTGCGGCCCAGCCTGGCCGAGGCCACTGTGCTGCGGGGCCACTCCTCCATCCAGGCCCACCTGCTGCGCACCTACGCGCGCAGCATGGCCGCGGTGGTCAGGACGCAGGCAGGGATCGTGGGCGGGGAGGGGGCCCGCACCTCCCTGGCCGCCCTGGCCGCCAAGCCCTATGTCGGCCGCCTGCTGCACCTGCGGAAAGGCAGGGGGGGGGAGCCCTCCTTCCTGGGCCTCATAACACAGGCCCAGGACGAGCACGTCGCCACGGGCGCGGCACTGGACGGCGAAGGGCGGGAGGAAAAGACGGATGAGGAGGGCGTAGAGGAGGAGGACAGCTGCCCTGACCCCGACGCAGAGCTGGAGAGAGCCCGGCCGGGGCTGTTTGCGGGGGCCTACCACATGATCCAGGACACAGCAAGGGATATGCTGTCGTGATACAGCCCGTGACCTCGGCGAGAGGTCCTGGGGCAACCAGACCCCCTCCTTCTGTGCTTGAGCGACTGTACCCACCTTCTGCAGCTTGCTTACTCATCCAAAGCGTGTCCCTGACATGCTGCTGCAGTACTTTTGACCTTCTGAAATACTATCCCACTCTGCATACAAACTCTTACCCCTTGCCTGCCAGGGCCCTTGCCACCTTGCAGTAAAACTGCCATCGCACATTGTTCACAATTGCTGCCCCTGCTGCGCCTTGAGTCGAGCTTACAGCGGCATGTGAGAGGGGGCTGATCCCGACAGAGACACAGCACTCCACTGCGACCACATTCAAGCCTTCTGGGGGGCCTGGCCGGCCTGTCCAGCGGGCCTGCAGGGGGGAAAGAAAGGGAGAAAAGGGGTTAGGGTTTAGTGGCATGATTGATCGAGGGTCAGCACAGCGTGCCAAGAAAGGGGCATCCAAGACGCAACCAGCACCTCTTATCACATCATCGCGCTCGAATGTGCAACAAATGTTTTTACACACCCACCCGCCCTCCCTACAACCTCCGCCACATATCGCTCGTGCTCACCGCTCGGGGCGGGGGCCGAAGCCGGGACGCTTTGGGGGCTCGCGGTTGCGGCGGTTCTTCACGGACCGCACGCGCACGATCTTGGAGTGGATGGCCGCAGAGATGCAGTAGTACACTTTCCTGCATGGTGGCAGGGCAGGGAAGGGGCGAATGAGCACCACGGAATTATAACACAGCATACAGCAAACTCAAGCCCTGTCGGCCTGCCTGCCCCAACACCCGAACGACTGCACACCTGTAGATCTTGGGGAGAGCGTAGTCTGCAGATAGAGTGTAGGGAAGGAGGGGTACGGGGAGTGAGTCTCAGCATGCGAGGTGTGCGGCAGCAAAGCAGGGGTCGGCGAACTCGCTCCTGCCGAGCTGGTGCTCTCCAACGCCGTGCGCCAGCAACACCCTTCCCGTATCCCAGATACTCACTGTCGATGGTGCAGGCCTCCTGCAGATCGCGGATGGCGGACGCATCCACCATGTTCCTCACGATGAAGCGCTTGATGGCCTTGTCCTTGGGCACCAGCACGCCGGACGACTCGCAGCGCACGCGCTTGACCTGCAGAGCAAGGAGCGGAATCTTTAGACATGGGACCCACTGCGCGTCCGGTGGACAGGAGTCTGCACACAGCGGAAGTGCTCCCAGCCCTCCTCGTCGAAGGCCCACGTACATGGCCGCGGCCGTGCTTGTTGCGGCCTCCGTTCCTCCTCTTCTTGGTCATGGTTGCTGCTGTCGGATTCCAAAGGCGTCCAAAGAGACCGTGCCAGGCGGGACCAGGGCGATTGAGGGCGGCCTGCAGGGACAGGGTCGAAGGCGGCAGGCCTCCCTTTCTACTGAAGACACGACAGCGACAGGCATGCCCGGGCGCTACTGGCGACTTTTTCAAGCTGGCTAGCAGCCAACAGGCTGCAGTTGACTCTTCTCTTTTTTCTAGCAGAAAGAAATGGCATTCGAAGCTCCTTGAGTACCGCCCCACTCTTAGTCGGATCGAACACCCACACCCCCTCGGAAACCTTCAGAGAAGGCCTACCCGCACTGGCAAACATGCACCCCCAGGACCTCGATGCTTTGTAACACAGTGCAATCATTGGAGCACTCCTAGAGGACGCTTCCACAACCAGGCCTGGACCATGGTCCTCCAACAAGTGGCTTTGAGCGCAGGCCACGGGTGCCTGTTTCAAGCAAAGTGGGGCACTGAAGTGTCAAGTTGACTCGAAACAATAATCTACCGTGCCAAGGGTGCGAATTATCGCCTGTTACAAGCAGAGGAAGTGTCTGAGCAAGGTGGAACATACAAACCTGCCAGGTTTGTAGGTGCTCACATCTGGCACACTCTCTGCCACCACATTCTAGTCACTCCAGCAGACTCTCACCAATCAAACAGCACATATCGAAGGCATCTTTTTATCACTCAGATCCTGAGCTTCTTGTTGGAGTAATCAGACCCTGATTGCATCCAGCTTCTGGCCAATGCTCAGACGAGCAGTCTGAGATCACGTCCAGCTGGGAACAGACACGCACCATTGAAAAGCAGTTCGTCACACGACGCCCCCCGTCTCAGCTTTGCATGCATGCTGTGAGCTCATGCTCTCATAATTTACTCGTTCCAGCACCCAGGCAGGCGACACATGCCTTCTGCGAGCTGTCCGTGGTCCATGTTTCTCCCTCATGATTCAATGATGATGTCCCGGCCTCACGGTGCGGCCCCTCGCGCTGCCTCCTCCACCCCGCACAGCCATGCCTGCCATGCTCGCGTGAAAGTACAGCGTTCTCGTAGTCGCCGGATGTCGGCCATGCCCGGCCGTGCCACCGCGACGGATGATCACGTGTGCGTCATCGGGGCTGGACCGGCCGGCCTGGCGGTGGCGGCTGCCCTGCACCAGGTGGGCATCCCCGTGGTCGTGCTGGAGCGAGGCACAGGAACCCCTTCCTCCGGCACCGCACTGGGCCTTTGGACCAACGCATGGCGGGCCCTGGACGCCCTGCACGCCGCAGAGGAGCTCAGGGCCCAGTACCGCGAAGTCAGCCTGTGCGTGCAAAGGCCCTGGGTTGGGGTGATGGCGGCAGGAACGGGGCGCGAGGAGTTGCAGGGACTCTCCTTTGCCTCACATAGTTCCCACACATGTTTTGCAGCGGCGCCTGTCCGGCCGACCCCAGCAGTCCCCCCTTCCTTCCCCAATCTCGCCAGAGTGCAGCTGTGCCGCGAGGGCGGGCGCCTGCTGAAGGACTTTGACCTGCACTCCTGCGACGGCGGCCCGCACGAGTTCAGGGGTGTGCGGCGTTCGTCCCTGGTGGCAGCCCTGGCTGCCCGTCTCCCGCCGGAGACCATCCGCTATGGCCACGCGGTGAGCGCCGTCGCCGGCGAAGATCAGGGGGCCGGCGTGGCTCTGACTATCGAGGGCGAGGGGTCCGGGGGGCAGATGCGGTTCGCCGGGGTGGTGGGCGCCGACGGCAGCGCCAGCGTGGCGGCGCGTGCTGCGGGAAGAAAGCCCGCTCGCTCGGTGGGCCAGACGGCGGTGCGGGGTGTGGCGAGCTTTCCCTCGGCGCGAGACATGCCGTGCAACTCCATCCGCCAGGTCTGGTCTGTCGGTCCGCGGGCCGGCATGTACCCGCTGAC